CGTCAGTAAGGCATGTAGGCGGTAAATTTGCCGAGGTCACTAAGGCCACTATTATGAACCTTGTAACTTTTAATTCTGAGGAAAACATAACTGAGATGCTTGAAAATGATTCTGATTCTAGCTCAGACGAAGAAGGAAACCGGAAGTGATTGAAAAATTGACCACTGCCAAGCTGGCAAAGATTCTCGCAGAGTGCCGTGACATGAAAGAATCACTTCAGAAATTCACTCAAGACGCCCCTGAACTACAAAATGCATTGCCCCACCTTGACAGTCTCAATGATATTCTCATGGCAATTTACAACTGCAAAATCAAGGAAAAACAACAGCCTGTGATAAGAAGATGCTTCCGACACTGCCAGGATGTAGCCAAAACAATCCAGAACATTCACGTAGCAGATGGGGCCGAGGATGCTGCAACGGCAGATGTTGAACCACTCGAGAAAGACTTAGACTTTGAAGGATTTCTGGATGTGGCCCAGGATGGGCCCACATCCAACTAACCCACCTCTAGCCTTGGAATCAGCCCATCATTGCTGTGCCTTCGGTTTGTGCTTTTTTTTTTTAAACTTTTTTGTGTTGTTTTTATTTCACCTTATCTGCATTATTTTTGTTGGTTTATTAGGATGTTGCTTTATTACAGGTAGTAATTCACCAAAAAAGTAGGGTAAATAAGGCAAAATTTAGCCAAACATAGAAAGTACCAGACTTAAATTAATTTTCGCCATAGGAAGTTGTATTTAAATTTCGCGAGGTTTTTACAGTCTAAATAGGTGTCCAAATATGAGAGCTTACTGTATTCAGATCATATAAAATAGTATAAGTATATAAAATTAGTGGTCAATTCAAGGGAGCGCAATTTTGACTTGACTAGTGACATGGGTTGTTGTGTTGGCACTGAAATTACTGACCACCATGTCAGTGACCAGTGCTGCCTTGAGAAAATATTATCTCAGGTCAATCAGGTCAGACTCTCCACCCCAGGTAGTGCCAGGGAGGGTAAACTTTAGGAGAGGCAGGTCAAATGTAAGTTGGCCATCTGACCTGACATGAACTGAGATCCTCACTAACATTACAAGTTATCCCTACTGATCTATTCTCACAAGGACCTGACCCAAACGTCGTTAGAGATCAAAGATACCAAATGGTTGTGACCTGACGTTAACTTGCTTAGTACAGCATGCCCTTAAAATTCGCAGGGGACTGGGTCTCAAAATGGCCGTGAATTGCCAAAACTGCGAATGTCATTTGCTGACTACGGGTGGGAGGTTACATTTTTACTCATGTGCAAAAAATGCATATTCCCTTTATGTGTTTGCACTTAGGACAATTATTTTTTTAACCTGTACTGTATACGTGTGTGTGTACACACACACACACACACACATAAATAATAATGGGAAAATCCTCTCATAAATAATCAGAAACGACAACAAAATGTATCAAAATGAAGAAAAAAATGAGTGTCTACCCTCAAGTCAACCCCAAGCTTTGTTATTAAAGTTGGGTTGGTTGGGTTGCCATACAGCATCCATCCATCCATCCATATATGCATCTATCAATCTATCTACTTATCCATCCATCCATTAATCTATCTATCTATTAATCTAGCCATTCATCCACCTATCCATCCATCTATCTATCTTTCCATCTACCTATTTATCTATTTCTTGGTAAGTCAAACACAAAATATACTGTTTACTGGAACACTATTGATATTGAAATGTTATAGAGAAAATGCTAAAGTCATTGGACTGTAACCCCCATTTAAGATTTTGACAAAATGTTTTAAAAGCCTCTTTTCATGACCAAGACTCATTATCACCACATATTTTAATGTCGACATCACTGGAAACTATACTACAACATACCAATCAATTAATTTGTTTTTAAAGCAATTACAGTTTTAACTAAAATAATGAAACAATTCGTTTAGGGTGGAGAAATAACCACTTGCAATGAGTAGTGCATATTCATAGCAATAATTGTCAAATTTGTTTGGTCCATCATCACTTTAACTGGTGAATTGCCGATTCACATGCTTTATGTTGAAATAAACTATTCTACATTGTTTCAGACAGTAAATCTCGCTTCAACATGAGAAATATCAAAATCAAATAAAAAATTTTGAACAATTCATCGACTTGCTGATTTTTACTGAAATTCGAGTTCTTCTTTTGTCTTAAATTATTTTTAGATGTATATAAGGACTTTGGCTATGATACAGTGGGATTTTAAACATTGTTCTGTAAGTACTGTACTGTATGCACATAGCATGTATTCTGACTTACGTACAAATCTGACTTAAGAATGTCTTCAGGAACGTAACCCATTCATAACCCGGGGACCCCCTGTGTGTGTGTGTGTGTGTGTGTGTGTGTGTGTGTGTGTGTGTGTGTGTGTGTATATATATACAGCTAGACCCCGACTTACGACGGGGTTAGGGACCCAAATCCAGGTCGTAAGTCCGACATAGATAAAAAAAAAGAATTAAATTTTTTTTTTAAATAAAAAATCTACAATGAAATATAGTACAGTAAAAGTAATAAATAATGAGGAATGGATACAGTGTGACTGAGCACTTACCTTTAATGTAGTCAGCTGAATGCACATGGGGCCCCCATAATTTTCTAATTATACATGGAGACTACATTAACTGGAAACGTTTCGGTATAGAAAATGCGTGTCATTTGAAAAAAAAAAAAAAAAAAAAAAAATTAATACAAAATCTACAGTGAAATACAGTACAGTGAGAGTAATAAATAATGAGCAATGGATACAGTGTGACTGAGCACTTACCTTTAATGTAGTCAGCTGAATGCACATGGGGCTCCCATAATTTTCTAATTATACATGGAGACTACATTAACTGGAAACGTTTCAGTATAGAAAATGCGTGGGTCATTTGAAGAAAAGAAAAGAAAAAAAAAATGGTCACAACTGCAGCGGTCGTAAGTCCCGACGGTCGTAAGTCCCGACGGTCGTAAGTCGAAGCAGTCGTAAGTCGGGGTCTAGCTGTGTGTGTATATATATATATATATATATATATATATATATATATATATATATATATATATATATATATATATATATATATATATATATATATATATATATATATATATATATATATATATATATATATATATATATATATATATATATATATATATATATATATATATATATATACACACACACACACACACACAGTAATACCCAGCTTTACGCGTTTTTTTACGCGTTTCTACATTTACGCGGTACCCTGCCAGAACCGGAGTGGTGCCAGAACTGGAATTCCCACTTTACGCAGCGCATCTGTATCTACTCATATACACGTGGGTGAAGTATAATTTTTTTATTTAGCTCATAAAATTCATACAAATTACCCGGCCAGAATATAATTTACATTGCTTGAATTCTTACAATATGATGATCATTTTGAATATAAACATGATGGATTTTGCATTAGACATTCAAATTTCAGATCTAATGTAATAATTTGGTTTACACAAAGCAAATATTTTATCTTTTGTGCAAAATATATGAAGTTTACATTCAAAATATTCCCTGACCTGCAAGGAATCCAGAAATGTCAATTATATTATCCTAACTTTAGTCTGGGGTATTATTTATTACTATACCTTAAAATCTAGTGTTTTCACCCAAATATTTCTCAGAGAGGTAGGAGCCAGTGAGCTGGGAAGAGTGGGGGAGTTGAGTCCATTATTTGAATGGACATTAACCTGGCGACTGTATTTCTCTTAAATATTAATTGTGTGTGCATACCATCATAAAATTAAGATGTTATTTTTACTACAACATAGGTATTTTGTCGGAAAAAGTGGAGTTTGGGGGTCGGGCCAGTCTCTATTGGAATTAATCCCATAAGTTCTGTTGTTCACTTTACGTGGTTTTCACTTTCCGCGGTACCCCGTGGGTTCAATTGACCGCCTAAATCGGGGTACTACTGTATATATATATAAAAGTAATATCTCTCTTTACCAGAACTCTCCGACAACCGGAATTCAATTTTTCTCGGAAAAGCGTTCCCAAATCTGGAATTTTCGGCTTTGGTTGCAATTTTCCAAGGGTCAAATTTTCTGGGAAAATTCCATTAATTTTCCCGATACCTAGAATATTCTGAGAGATGAAAATCAGGCGCATTTTCCAGAAATTCCGAGAACATTTTTCCCATATCCAGAAAATTCCCGGGATGGGGATTTCTTTCCGGGTTCAAGATATGATGTAATGCGCGATGTATGGAACTTCTGAGAAAATTTTCCTGGTACCCAGAAAGAAAAATTACAGAAAATTCCAGGGATGAGGGATTTTTATTCAGCTTCGAGAGAGTCGTCTCGTCACCCGGAATCCTCTCGTCCCCGGAAGTGCTCTGCACCAATTGTTCCGGGTAACGGAGATATTACTGAATGCACACACACACACACACATGCAGGTTATTTCAGAAATATGTTTCACAATTCTCGGGCTGTATTCCTTGGACATACATGAGGATAAATGACTCCATGACCATAGTGTCAATACACCATAGTTTTGGAATTATACCACAAAATTAGGAAGAGAGAGACTGCAACAGGTCTATGGAAATAAAACATAAAATATAAAGCCCTATTTAAAGTAACTGGTAACATTCAGGAAGATGATCAGAACTTGGAAAGTATATTGTAAAATCCATATCATACTACATATGATTGTAAATAAATTGTACTATTAACACTGGATAATTCATTTATACTCAATTGATATTATCACCTTCCAACTTCAATAGTCATGTGTTTATACCTCTGAAACTATGGAGTATTGAACTATGGTCATGAAGTCATTTATCCTTCTGTATGTCTCAGGAATACACCTCCAGAATTATGAAACATATTTCCAAAATACCCTGGATATACTGTACAGTATATACAATAGAAGTACTGAAAAGGCAGGTAATTATTAATCTCTTAAAAAGTATGACTAATCTTTTACAGTACTTACCATAAAATAACAAAACGAATATAACCAAAATCATGTACACGGCTTGACCCAGGATATTCTTCATCATGGTGCGTGAGATGAGAGGCTTGGTGCGACCATAGGGTTTTCGATGAAGGAGATCAGGCGTGGGAGCTTCCGTTGCCAAAGCCAGGGAAGCCAGAGTGTCCATGATAAGGTTCACCCACAACATTTGTACAGCCTGGGGGGTTTTATCAAAATTTAAAAAAGAAGTATTACAGCATTAAACCTCTCCTAAAGGATTTTGCTTCAAAATAACAAAAAGATAACAAATAGAAAGTTCTGGATAAAACAAAACAAAAAAAGATTCATACACATATGGAAGAGTTATATATGCAATTACTAATACAAAACACAGTGAAAAACAAAACAAAAACAACTATAAGCATCAAAAGCATGAATTTAAGTGTGGAAAAGTGATTACCTTGAGAGGGCTATCGTTGATGGCACACGCACCAACAAATGCTACAATCACAGCTACAACATTTACGGTTAGCTGAAACTGTAGAAACTTAGCAATGGAATCATATACATTGCGCCCCCACATGACAGCCTTGACAATTGAGGTAAAGTTGTCATCTGTCAGGATGATATCTGATGCCTCTTTGGCAACATCGGTACCAGCAATGCCCTGCGGATGCCAAACATACACAATTTAAGGATATCAGATCAACGAAAATTTTCAATACAAATCAGAGATCTGCCTATCACTTTGCTACTTTCCTAACTAAATGGGCTGGAACAAGGGCATTAAAATTAAAAAGCAACAACAAAAAACAATAATAAACCCATTCATCTTCAGCTCATGCTCACAGAAATAAGTGAACCAATGCTTCCACATACAGTAGTACTAATCTTTCATAGCTTTTAATTTTAATTACAAATCAGAAAAGATTTTTTAATTTATCTAGAGAAGAGGAAGTACAACTAATGCTCTCTATTGCTATTATATTATTGCTTATATACAGCATAATCATTCCCTTACCATAGCAAAGCCGACATCAGCCATCTTCAGGGCAGGGCCATCATTGGTCCCATCACCTGTAACAGCTACTACTTCTCTGTTGGCATTGATTTTACTTTCTATAATACCTTTCACCAATGTGTATTTATCTGTGGGTGAAGAACGGGCCAACACACGCAGGGTCACCCACACTTTATCTAATAAATGTTGTTGAACCTGAAAGCATAAAGCTTTGGGTAAAATTTTTAATAATATAAACCAAAGAATTTTTAGCAAATCCTACTGTCTCCCAACTTGTAAATCCAGTGAAGGCAAAATAAAATATTAAATACATAAATTTTTGTGTACTGTACCTCCAACCACATAATTTAATACAATGAAACCTCAATTAAAATCATATGGGGGAAAGGGTGAGCTGAATTTAATGAAAACTTAAATCTAGCTGACAAATAACGTTAAAACACTGAATGTCTTAAGTATTTTATGCAGCCGACATATGAAGAAAAATCTTTACATACACAACTGCTGGAAACCCAACCTAAAATGCATTGTCACCAATAATATAAATTGATAATTAAAGTACATGTATCCCTCGCTATACGAATGGCTTAGGTTCCTGAATATAATTTGTTAAGTGAATTTTCATATCGTGAATAAAAGAATATACCTGTATGGGAAAAATAGGGTTCGGGTCCTCAATGACAAGAAAACCCCAATATCATAACCCAACCGCATGAAATCGGTTCACGAACAAAAAAAAAAAACAGACCTAATCAATGATAAATAGCACACAAATAATGAAATTTACTACCCAACACATTAAATACATTAATAAAACACTATTTAGATAAAATATATGCAGCTAAAACCAATAAGGAAAAGTTAAATGAAAGTTTAACACAAGAGCCCAGCAAGGCTGAAGATGCTGCCTCTGTCGACCCTTAGCGCTGCTCCCCCTCCTGCTCTTATACATAAAGAAATGATTATTCTCTTTATATTTTTAACCTCTTCACAATTACTTATTTTACTTTTTCTTTTTAGTGTGGTATCATGTATCACACTCGACAGTCACTCACGCTTACAGCAATGAAAGAAATCTATTATGATGTTGTTTACCAATATCTGATACACTGTCACACACTATGGGGAGCATCTGGCACATCAAAAATACAATCCCTGGTTACTACAGTGAACCCTCGCTTTACACGGTTTCACTTTATGCGTTTCTACATTTACGCGGTACCCTGCCAGAACCGGAATTCCCACTTTACGCGGTGCATCTACTCATATACGCGAGTGAAGTATAATTTTTTTATTTAGCTCATAAAATTCATACAAATTATCCAGCCAGAATATAATTTACATAGCTGGAATTCTTACAATTTGATGATCATTTTGAATATAAGCATCATAGATTTTGCATTAGACATACAAATTTTAGATCTAATGCAAGTACAGTATTTTGTTTCCTCAGAGCAAATATGTTATCTTTTGTGCAAAATATATGACGTGTATATTCAAAATATTCCTGGTCTTACAAGGAATCCAGCAATGTCAATTATATTATCCTAACTTTAGTCGGAGGTATTATTTATTACTAAAAATGTAAATAAACTGTTATAACCCAATCATTTCTCTGGTAGGGAGGGAAGGTGGGGGTGAGGGGTAGGGAGGGAGGGAGGGACCCAGGGAGCAGGTGGGAAGAGGGGAGGAGGTGGGGTATTTTGATTGACAGATAGTATTTCGGTAAGTATATTTTGTTTATTTATTGAAGATATTTGTTTTAGCTCATAAAATTCATACAAATTACCGGGCCAGAATATAATTTACATTGCTGGAATTCTTACAATTTGATTATCATTTTGAATATAAACATCATAGATTTTGCATTAGACATACAAATTTTAGATCTAATGTAAGTATTTTGTTTGCTCTGAGTAAATATGTTATCTTTTGTGCAATATATATGACATTTATAGTCAAAATGTTCCTGGTCTCACAAGGAATCCAGCAATGTCAATTATATTATCCTAACTTTAGTCTGAGGTATTATTTATTACTAAAAAGGTAAAAATTCTGGTTTCTCCCAAACATTTCTCTGGTAGGGAGGGTTGGTGGGGGGTGGGGGGGAGGGAGCATCCGACCGACCATCTGGCGAGGTTGGAAGAGGGGGGGAGGCAAGGTGAGGTGTTTTGATTGACAGATAATGTGTGAAGAATATTTTTTTTTTTTATTAACTGACGATATTTGTTTAAGCCCATAAAATTCATACAAATTACCCGGCCAGAATATAATTTTCATTGCTGGAATTCTTACAATTTGATGATCATTTTGAATATAAACATCATAGATTTTGCATTAGACATACAAATTTTAGATCTAATGTAAGTATTTTGTTTACTCTGAGTAAATATGTTATCTTTTGTGCAAAATATATGACATCTATATTCAAAATATTCCTGGTCTGACAAGGAATCCAGCAATGTCAATTATATTATCCTAACTTTAGTTTGAGGTATTATTTATTACTATACCTTAAAATCTAGTGGTTTTCCCCCAAACATTTCTCAGAGAGGGAAGAGTCAGCGAGTGTGAGAAGAGGGGGAGGGAGTTGAGTCCATTATTTTAATGGACATTAACTTGGCGACTGTATTTCTCTATTTCTCTTAAGTATTAATTGTGTGCATGTACCATCATAAAATTAAGATGTTATTTTTACTAGAACATAGGTATTGTGTTGGAAAAAGTGGAGTTTGGGGGTCAGCCGGTCTCTATTTCATTTAATCCCATATGTTATGTTGTTCACTTTACGCGTTTCTCGCTTTACGCGGGCCTCCGTGGGTTCAATTGACCGCGTAAAGTGAGGGTTCACTGTACACAAAAGAGAGTTGTGCAAACAATGACCTACTTGAAAAGCACGAATCACACAAACAATCGAAGAATTTGCTAAATTGAAAATTTTAAAATTCGAGGATATTAACACCTACTTCTGTGCCCTATTTGCTTACAAATCTGCCAATCACTTGCTTGACAACAATTATTTCCAGTATCTGGAATAATCAGAGATACAACTTAAGGCACCCAGAGCTACTAAGACCACCCCCCCATGTGCTCCTCTCAGTCCCAGACCTCCATAAAATATCACGGGGTGAAGGTGTGGAACAACTTACCCCCAACCACCCGAGCAAAGACTACGCTCCCTTCCTTTCGATCATCTCTTAAAAAATATCTATTGTATAAGTATAAATATATTTTTTTTATAATACCTACTTTATATACCGGCATTTATTGTACCACCAAAACCATTTTATCAGAAATTATCATGTAGATAGAAATTACCATTGCAATAAATATATTTGCCAAGTAGACATAATCCTGAAAGCTCTATCCTCTTGTTCCACCTTAATACAACCCATGTTGTACTGCTTCCCTCCATTAACATATTTAAGTTTCTCAATTTCGCTGTAAATTATGTACTATATATATTTATAATATAAATGTAAAATAAAAAATAAATTCAATAAAATCAATAAATATCAAAGTGATAATTGTGGTAACATTCTGGTATGTTCTTATTACCACCATGCTAAGTGTACTATTCCAGATGATACTAAATGTTACATAATACAGTACTTCCTTGAGATAAATGTACAGTACTATACTGTATATTAGGTGCCTACAAGAGAGCTTAGGCTCTCAATTGGCTAAATAAACTGTTTAAATATCAATACAAATTATGTATGTAGGATTGTGTGTGCATGTAACTGAGTATATATATATAAAAAAAAAAAAAATTGAAGAAAGTTAATTTTATCTTCCCAAAATTGAGTTGAAAAATAACCATAACATAACTCTCACAGCTCATCCTGATAACTTTTGCTGGTGCATGAAGTAATGTTTATTCCCTTTATATTTTTTATCTCATGATAATTAATTTATTTTATTTTTTGCACATTCTGTATGTAGGATTATGTGTGCAGCTGGCAGCTCTGGTGACTAGCTTGCAAGCCCTTTCCCGCAGTGCAACGAGTCACCCCACGCACCCGCAGCGTCTCATCTCCCCCTATTCACACTCACCCAGTACCCATGACCTTGCATCATGTGTCATACTCTCAAAACTTTTGCATTTAATTGTGAAAATGGCTCCTAAAAGACTGCCTAGTGTCAGTGCTAATGATGCTAGTGGAGTGAAATGTAAAAGGCAAAAGGCAGTGATGACCCCGACAAAGAAAGTTGAATTATTAAATAAGTTAAAGGAGGGGATGAGGCTGCAGCAGCTGGTCGTTTGTTTGTGATATATCAAGAAAAATGAGGAAGCAATTCATGATATTGTTCAAGCAAGTGCTTCTGCAAGTTCTATAGTGGCGATGTTGTTCGTGACAAGAACATAGTGAAAACTGAGAAAGCACTGAACATTTGGGTTGAGGACCAGCACCATAAAAATGTTCCGATCGACAGCAATGTGATTCATGAGAAGGCTAAAAGTCTTTATGGTTTTTTTTAAGAGTCAAAAGGTGGTGAAGGGGAAAGTGAGGCTACTGAACCAAGTTTTAGTGCCAGTAAAGAGTGGTTTGAGAATTTTAAGAAAAGATTCTCTCTCCATAATGTGAAGCTGACTGGGGAAGAGGGGCATCAGCTGACCACAGCCACAGATGCATTTCCCACCAAGTTAAAGAAAATAATAGAAGAGAAAGGCTATAGGCCAGAGCAAGCGTTTCATGCCGATAAATCTGGTCTATATTGGAAGAAAATACCAGGTAGAACGTACATAAACAAGCCGGAGAGGCGTGCCCCTGGGTTCAAGGCAACCAAGAACAGAGGGACGCTCATCTTCTGTGGCAGTGCAGCTGGCCACATGATCAAACCTGGCTTGCTTTACTGCTCAGCAAACCCTAGGGCTTTAAAGGGGAAAAAAAGAACCTTTTGCAAGTTTTTGGCAGTCTAACAAAGAGGCATGGGTAACTGTGCAAGCATTCCTGGATTGGTTCCATAAATGCTTCATCCCAGAAGTGAAAAAATACTTTGCTTCCAGGAAGATGGAATTCAGGGTGCTATTATTGATAGACAATGCACCAAGCCAACCAGAAGGTTTGCAGTCTAGCCATCCAGGTGTAGAGGTGGTGTTCCTACCCCCTAACACCACTGCTCTTATTCAGTCTCTCGATCAGGGTGTATTATGCACCTTTAAGGCATATTACACCTGACACTCTTTTGGTCGTATCCGTAGTGCCATGGATGCAGACCCTGACCTTGATGCTAGTGAAGCATTCAATGAACTCAAACCAGAGACTGAATACTTGTTGGCAAACCTTATGGCCTAAGTATGTGAATAACTTCCAGGGATTTCCATCCATAGTAAAGGATGTGAATGCCATTGCGAGTGTTGCACGTCAATTGGGTGGTGAGGGGTTTGTGGACATGGCTGCTGAAGATGTGGAAGAGCTGATTGATGGGCAAGGAGAAGAGCTGACAGAAGAGAATTTGGAAGATTTGGAAGATGAAGAAGAAATTATGGAATTGCAAAAAGAAGGTTGGGGCTTGGACAGTTTTGGTGAACTATTTCAACAGGTAAAGATGGTAACTGATTTATTGTTGACCATGACCCGTCAATGGAACGAAGCCTTAAGATGGTCCAAGGAATTAACCATGTGTTGTTTCCCTACCAGGAAATGTTTAAAGACCTCAAAAGCAAAGAAGAAACAGCTACCAATCACGATGTTTTTTTAAGAAAGAACCTGCTACTACCACCACCGCTCCACACTCCTCCTCCCAGCCACCCACCACCTAACCACCCGCCTCTCGGCCATGCGCCTCTGCACCACCCACCTCTCCACCAACCACCACTGCATCACCCTCTTCCAACAGTGATCCTGATGATCCCCCTATGCTTCAATAACCAGATGTCTCCCTATGTACAGTGCACCACTTCATCAAGCTCCAAACTTCCACATATGAATGTAAGTATAGTATTGGTGACGTAAGTTTCTCATACACAGTAGTATAGGTATATATTAGTGCACTAAGGTGTTATATAAGTTGCTATTCGTGGCTTTGTCAATTCACATCATTTTTGGGAACCTAACCCTCACGAATGGCGAAGTACATCCAGTTACCACCAATGATGTAGTTGTGACCTACCTGAGACAAGGAATGAGACCATTCACAATTTTAGTCTTTATGGAACACCTGAAGATTAGTCCTCAACTTAACCAGCCTGAAGTTTATTGAACCACCCAAAAACTATTTGGAGGGGCTAATCTTCAGGTGTTCCATAAAAGCTAAAATTGTGAATAGTTTTATTTGTGGTCTTGACAACATCATTGGTTACAACATGACAGACTTCAAAGAATTTTGAACAACATGAAATTGCTAGAATTAATTCAAATTCAAATTATTGCACTCATTTCCATATAGTCACCTGTTATATATAACATTGCTCAATACATCATCTTTAATCCAATATTATCCTCTCTGAAGATGAAAGAGAGGAGGAGAAGGAGAAAAATAAGAGGAAAACCTTACCTTCCCTGATGCATCTCTGATTCTCCTATTAAATTCTTTTCCCTCTAATATGAGACTATTGTCTCCTGGTTTGAGAATACCACACTTGGAAGCAATGGAGCGTGCAGTGTTGATATTGTCGCCAGTGACCATACGAACTGTGATGCCTGCCCGCTGGCACCTGTGGATTGCATCAGGCACCTCAGGCCGCACTGGATCTTCAATGCCCAATACACAGAGACAAGTCAGGTTGCTAATAATATTATCTTCATCTTCCCAATTGGGCTCATTTTCAATATGCACCTAAAAAGGAAAATCGAAAGTAAATGAATACAATTTGGATATGAAATTATGACAATCATGAGTATTTATGCAAATAAATGTCTGAATATATGGAAACTTGTGTTGAAATGTCATAAAAAAAAGCAAATAAACTTCTTACTTCCAACCAAAAAGACATACTGTACATGATCTTAAATTGGTCATCAAATGAAATCTCAGGACCAATCCACCTTTAAAACCTTACTGTATACTTGAACCAGCTCCAGTTAGAAAAGGGAAGTACATTAAGCTGGTTCAAGTGTCAGAAACAACAAACTTTTAACTTCCAATGGCCATGCAGTCCTGAGATGCCAACCTATTAACTAATAACTGGAGAAGCTGCAATCTAGGTTTTCTTTGGGGGATGGATTAAAAAACACTGCCATTCAAGATGTCTAAGTGGATACATTGTCTTGAATGTCATATGTCCATTGAACATCATGAAATTGTGGATGTTCCAAATCACAGCACCACTTTTCCAAAACTTGTTAAAGCACATGGATAATGATAATTTAACCCCATAGTTGACCAGAGCTGGTATAGTAACCACTCACTGGAATAGTAAAATGGAGAACTTAAGTGCTAACCATTTCAATTGTCTGGCAGGTCAAACTATGGGAAAAGAAGCCAAAAAGACTAATGAGAACACACTTCATCCTTTCCTGCTATCTAACTTAAAATCAGAGAAAACAAATGGAACAGGACTTGAAATTTTTTTTAAGCAATTGGCGAGACTAAATACCAATGGGCAAAAGAGGAGCTACTAGGAAAGTGACATCTTGAAAATGCTTAGCCTCAATATCACTTAAAACATATGAGAAACAAGAAAAATCAAATCGGATCCTGTGTACTCCCGTCAAGGGAAATGCATACACTTATACAGTCCTCCTGGTGAATAGCCAAAGCAAACTGCTCCACTACAATCCTAAACAACAAGATTGGATCAAACTTCCACTCAGAAGGAATTGCTCTATTCCTAGATATTCCACATTGGACATCTTCAAAGGGAAACAAAATATCCTCTTATAGCCTCAAAACAGACCCTGCATACATGTATAACTAACAATTATATCATAAACGGCCAATTAGAAAATTCATGACCACAGCACTGAGCAGCATTAGTTCTGTACACAAAGTCACTAGTCAGCTACTTGGGTCAATAACCAAAGTATACTCTTGTGCAATGCAATATAAAACTATCCTATACCTGTACAGATATATAAATCTAACACCTAAGAGTGCAGAGCAACAGTCAACACCACAAGCATCTAAAACCAAAAGAAACATTAAGGTGCCCATAATTAGGTCTTAAAGCTGAGGAGGTCCTCTCTGTGCAGCTGGAGCTGACATGCAGACAAGTAAAAATCTCCTGCAGTGGCTGTGGAAAGTCATGAATACTTACAACTGGATACTGAGGTTGGTAAAATGGGGTACAATATATAAAACATGGACACTTGAAACTGTGGTTGGTAGGCCAGTAGTTGGTAAGGGATTACTGTACTGTTTTCTTTTTAAATTTAGTATGAAAATGAAGGTTTATCTTATTCTTTATTTCATTTGACTTTTAGATTCTCTTAAAAGTTGCACCCCAAGATTTGCGAGCTAATAGATGCTAAAAACGGTAGCAACGTTAAAACAAATTTGGTCTAAACATGAGAAACATCATAAATACTGCTGTTAGATTGAAGTGCTCAGGAAGGTCTAAGATGGTGAGGAAAGTGACACAAGATTATGGAAACAGATATGTGGACCAAACTTTTCCATCATCAGTATATTATTCTGAAAAATTAATCAATAACAATAAACAAAACAAAAATCATACCTGGTTAATATCAGCTTTTCCTCGAACAAAGTCTCTGTATGCAACTGAGATTGTGCGAAGACCATTACACGCCATGGGTTCAATTACTTCTCGAACTAGACGATCTTGCATTGATCTTGAGAAGCTTTCTAGTTTGCCATCCTTTCCATAGATGAAGGAGCACCTGCAGTAAAATGACAATAATAAGTCATATGTTATATAATACCATTTTGGGAAACCTTAACATAATACAGTACTGTACACAATTGGTTTCCAAGAGTATGTAGAGGATAGCAACCTTAGCATTCTTAAGTCTTTCAGGCACAGAGTTGAGTTATCTATTAACACACACACACACACATGTAAGCCCTTGATAATTCGGCATTTGATATACAGTACTGAATAGGAATTTCATATAATTCGGCACATATATGGTCTTGGAATTTATTATAAAATAACTCGGGAAATGCAGAGTCATGTAAAATTATCTGGGAAATCCCGGCATATTTGGCCATGTGAGTAACACTCGCCGCACTGCGCTCCACGCTTGGTTAGTCTGGTTTTTGTTATTGTTGTAGTCGGGTGTGTGCTGGCTCACTCCACCCAGTACATGGACATGGGAAAGGAGGGTGCTGTAGCAACCCAATGTTTTGGGTATAAAGTACTATACATTGCACCACAGAGTATCTATGGCACCAGAATTAATATTTAGCACTCCCTGGTACCATTTGGTTCCTGTGGTCCTAACCCATTTGTCATGGGTTGCGTTGGGCCTCCCGCACAACCCATCCCAAATGTTTGTTTACGGTAGAGATAAGGTAACTGGCCAGCCATAACTGGGACATGTTTTCAATTAGTGGCATGTTAGCCAGCCGATAGGGGGGGAAGGCCAGTGAGACAGTGGTGTACTGTTCATCACTTCACGCCTCAAAAAAATCAATTTAGCCAGTGGGCTTTAGACCTTGGGTTAGAGAAGACCTCCTGCTCTGTGGACTTAAGAACAGGGGCCATACAGTCCTACCAGTGCTATGAGTCTGTGTGTGCAAACCCCCGAGATTTTTGTTAAGTCCAGCGACAAGTTAACACATCCTGTAAAGGAAGTGATCAATGGTGAGGGCCTGTTTGCTACAAAAGCACTCCAGGCCGGCCTAATAGATCTAAAACGATTAATTCTCCAGGTTGACAAACTCTCCCTTATAACTTACGGTACTGTGGCATGAATGTGAGTGACTGACCTATCCATGCAAATTATAAGTCCAGTGTGTGGAATTGTGCCAAATAAATGTAAGTGCAATCATCTGCCCGTATCTGTGATCCCTCTATTATTATTATTACCAAGGGTAATGACTGATTGGTTATGACAAAGTATAACCAATAACTTAGATGGATATTGGAAGTTAGTGGAATTCATTAAATCATCATTTATCAAGTACACAACGCATTGAATGCCGGAAGCAGAGCGAAATTCTATGTAGTGATACACCATAATCTCTTGGGCGAGTAACCAGTGTGAAGGTATTCGAGTTCTACGGTAAGAAAACCACTTTCCTGCATTTAAAACGTAACACCATTAACACCCAAAAACCTCCCCCCATTCATGTCAGGCCAGCCACTGTATGCAAAATGTTTCCACTATTACGGTAAGTCCAATGTTGTAGACTTTATTTAATTTACAGTGCAATTCATTTTATCAGAATTCCAACTAACTGAATCTTCCAGGTATCCCAACTTTGTCCCCTTTGGTAAAATTTTTAATTTAGTCCAACAACCTGAAAGCAACTGAAGAAAATTTTTTGTGTGTCTAGCACCAGTAGCACTATAACAGCTTTTTAAACAACTTTTATAGTTTCATTTTATGTAACAATGGCACCATGCACTACCCTCTCCCTCCCTAAGGCGGGGCAGGAGCAGTAAAGACAATAAAGACCCCCTCGCTGCCAGTAATGGAAGTTGTCAGACACAATACACAACCTCCCTTGCTCCACATGTAACCCATAGTGCAATCCACACTATGTGTACATAATGTTGTTATACATGTGCTATTTATATGTAACGTATCTTGCACACTCCAAGAACCGGCATGAAAAACTTGCAGATTCTGCTTTCTTGCTGGGTTCATTTTACCTAACCCCTGGGAGCCTTAAGGGAATACTGTACCAAATAATGAAATGGTTAAGTAAACAGTACAGTACTGGCAGATTTGTTTACACTTCGAATAACTGTAAAATTTAAGCATACTGTCTTCTCCAGTGTAAGATTTGATTAATGACACTGGTTTCTGGTAATTCATCAACAAATCATTGTTGTTGATCATCCCCAAACAAACAGATTGAAATGAAAATATTGATGCCAATCAACCATACTGGATTAGATTACAATGAAGACTCACAAATAGGATTTAGCAGATCTTAACTGTCTGTTTTATTAGAACAAAATGTGCTCACACATTTTTGAGATTTGGCTGCTGATAAAAGCAAATGAACACAGGTAGATGTAGCTCAAACAACAAATAAATTAAAACCAATTGGCCATTATTAATCAAATCAGTAAAAAGGACAGGGAAATAGAGGAGAGGATGTCTCACTGCTATGCCAAGTTTGGACAAAATCAACTGATGCTTGGTTGAGATATGTCTACTGTTGGTTGAATACATGGAAAGATAGACAGGAGTCCAAACCACTAGCTCCCTGTTAGACTATTGTCCAGTTGGAGGTTGACAATATTCTACTGACTCACTGACAGGCAACTGTGTGTGCTTTGGTAATGTTATGAAATATTAAAACTCCATGAAGGCATACCTTCCTTTGATAGTCTTTAAAAACTGACAACTAGTGACAAATGGCTAGCTATATCTATATCAGATGTTGTTAAGCTCTGGGAAAAGATCCAACATTTGGAAATGTTACATATATAAGAACAACTGGATATACAAGTGATATCTCCATTAGCTGGAACAATTGGTGCAGAGCACTTCTGGGAATGAGAGATTTCTGGATAATGAGACAACTCTCTCAAAGCCAGAAAAAATCCCCCATGCCCGGAATTTTCCCGGGTAACGGAAAAATTTTCCCGTAAATTACAGAAATTGCTCATTGTACATCATCTTTCGAACCCAGAAAAATATCCCCCATTCCCAAAATTTTCCGGGTACCGGAAAAATTTTATCTGAATTTCTGGAAAATGCGCCAGATTTTCATTTCTCAAACCCAGAAAAAACTCCCCCATCCCCGGAATTTTCCGAATACTGGGTAAATTTTCTTTGAATTTTCCAGAAAATGTGCCCCTCGGAAAACTGTTCCCAAGGCTGGAATTTTCCAGAAAATTCCGGCTTTTGGACCAATTTTCCGATAAAATTTCAATTCCGGCTATCAGAGTTTTCCAGGTTTGAGGGATTCCGGCTAACAGAGATATTACTATAACTGTAACCCAGGATATATGAAAGCACAAATAAAGTAGCGTCTGGTGTAATGTGAAGGATAATATTTGGTTTACTTTCATATACATACAAGAAACTTAAATCAAAATTTAAAATTCATATTTTTGAAAAATGTCAACTACCAGATGAGTTTCCATGCACTCAAGATGTTGTACATATAAATTCAATATTGTAAAACTATCTATCAGTTATTAAATTTCAATAGAGAAGAAAGACCGGACTACACATCATCCTCTACAACAGTGGTCCCCAACCTTTTGCAGGCTCTGGGCCACATTTATCATTGTAAATACAGTGGCAGGCGCCAAAACTTTGGATCTACATTCAAGAAAAAAATCTCATATGCTGTAGTTATTTGCAGTGTTACACATCTAACTGTTACCAGTTACATACTTTTACATTTATTCTTGGACAGGACATGTATATATACCCCAGAGAGAAGGCTGGCTCCCTCTACGGGCCCGGTCTGGGGTAAATACATACATCCTGTACACGACAGTTTATCAAATTATTACATATGTTTCTTAATTTCACTCTTACAAAGAATCCTAAATAATTCACAATTTTATAATAAACCCTTGCGGGTTACATGATACAGTTCTGCAGGTGCCATGGCACCCATGAACTATAGGTTGGGGACCACTGCAGTCTACACAAATGTGTATAGAAAGACATCAAAAACATTTTTAACATAAGTGTGAAGTACATTTAGAAAACAATCTAACAATAAATTCTAAACATAAATACTATTTTACATGATAAAATTAACACTACTACTGCTATGCTGTCACTCGAAATCGAGCAAGATGATCATCCAGCTATGATACAAAGGTACAAGTTATTAAGGTGTCACCTTCATTAAAATTAATAGTACATTGCTGTGCAAACTTACTTTTTCATGACAATTTCTGAGGCACCTTTCGTGTAGATCCGGTAACCCCCATCTCGAGGGATCACCGTTGACATTGATTTTCTTGCTGAATTGAAAGTATACACTCGATGGAAGCTTTCTTCTGAGATTTCATCACGGATGGCCTGATAACTCTTACCTAGGTCCAAAACAAATCCTAATAAGGAACACTCTGTTTTGTTCCCAACCTGTCAAAAATAAAATTATCAGCTTTCTGAATAAATTTTTATTTTATAATTTAATCTGGAATGTCGTCCTGAAGGTAAATTGTTAAATTATTATGAAAATAGAAATAAAAACTCTGGAGACAAAATGTTAAATATACAGTTTATCATACAGCATCATAATATAAGATCATACATCCAACTCAACCACTATTTAATATCATAATTCTTGTACAGTATAAATATACACGAAGGAGTCATCACTCTGAAAAAGAATATAAACAGTGTGTACCTTAGGAGGAAAAGAGTTCGTAAACCTAAAGAATGTGTTGATCAGTGTTTACATTAAGGACTATAATTAAAATACATCTGGAAATGGAAGAATTTAAAAAAATTTATGAATCTAGAAAAAGTATACACTCGAATGTCTCTGCAGTCCAGCAAGATTGTCACCAGGGGCATGCTGGAATGCATTAACAGCAACATCGATGTTAAAATAATAATTCACAAGAGGCAACTATGTAGACCAGCTTAAATTATAATGTTGTTAACAGCATTGGCCTTTGACTTTCCAGCTTTCCCCAAAACAGGTGGTGCATCACAGCTAGGTGACTGTCACTTGTAGCATTCAACAGCAAGGGTTTTATTTGTACTACTGTGAACCCTCTACTCCCTTGTGTCTTGGTGTGAATGGAAAAGGCAAGCATGCTGGATGACTTACCCAATGGAAAGCCAGAATTACTAAGTTGGAAGGAGTATCAGCCAATCAGGAATGAGGAATATTTACTCCATGTGGGATGTAATGCAGCTGTGTTGCTAGAGTACGATTTAAAGTAAGAATGGACATACATAAAGATTTATTAGGAAGTGCCTAAAATCAAAAGGGACTACCCTACTACTGAGAGCTACGTCACAACTGAAAAGTACCGTAAGACCAAGTTGCTGGATAACTGATATTCTGGATAAAAAATAGGCGAGTATAAAACAGTTAACAGACGTGCAATGGGTAAATTTGTAAATGTGTGGGATAAATTAAAATTGCTGAATAAAGAATATTGTTTATAGAGTGAAAGTGGAGCTGCATCAAAGATGTGTGTCATTATCATGGTTGTTGAACATTGTCATATGGGTTAGTATGAAAAACGACAGAAAGAATGATACAGAAGAGCGCAAGCTTGATAAGGAAGCTGGTTACTAATACACAGTGAATCTGCTGTTATTGCTGATGTGACAAGACATTGGTGGGTGATTCAGAGGTTTCAAATGCCTGTGAATAAGTTTGGAAGAAAGTGTACTGGGAGAACATTAAAACTCTTGAGGTTTTCATACGCAAATTTGTGTATGAAGTAAAAAATCTAAATAAAGCAATTTTATGTTTGCATATGAATACTAAACATGCAATATGCACAGTTGGCAACTATGTAGACTGCACTCCAAGGTCACCACCCTTTTGTGTTTAAAGTACCCAAGATATAACGTTTACTCACATTTTCCACGCATTTTCTTATGGCTTGTGCTGATTTCTAGTGCATCACAGAGATTATATTTATTCATAACAGTGTTTTGAGAGGCTTGAATCATGCCTCGTGTTGTTAGCGAGGGTGGAGGGGTGTGAAAACGTAAAAAGTGCAAAGAGATTGCGTCAGTTGGTGATAGTGTGGTGCCTCCTGATGCCTCTCCCAGTGTTCCTGGCCCTTCTAGCATAAGTGATAGTTTGTTTAGCCCTTCAACAAGCAGTCCTAGTGCTATGACTCAATATAGTATGGACAATTATCTTTTGCGCATGAAGGGAAAAAATTAATAAGCTGTACTCAGCTCATCAAAATGCAAAATTTGCACCACTGCTACTCCTCGACTTATGACCTACTCGACTTATGACCAACCGGACATACGACTGCCCCAGTCATACCAAAATTTTTTCATATTACATATTTTCGAGTCCCAACGTTAGTGATTGCGCTGTGTACATGTACTGACAAAATTTTTGTTTGTAATTCCCTTTAAAATGGCTGGTATGCTTAAAAGTGAGAGTTTTGTGGTGCTGAGAAGAAAAAGAGACACCCATTTTAGATTTTCTATGTACAGGGTGTATTATCTTCACATTTTTGACTTATGACCTGGATTTGGGTCCCTAACTCCGTCATAAGTCAAGGAGTGGCTGTATTACCTCGCAAAATATTATTGTTTTCACATTTTTTTATATTACTATTTTTCCTAAATTGTTATGTTTTTATGATGGAATAAGGTTCATATTGCAATCATTTGAAATAACGAAGGCATAAAGTGATGTAAAAATATTTTCATTAAACAAAGAAAAATTTTGTGTTCTACTTACGCTTTCATAAAAAAATTACTTTTTATCATGATTACTTATATAATACTGTTTGTAGATAATTTTATTTACAATGCTAATGCAATAAACCCCACCTTTTTATCTCAAATAGTAAGCTTGATATGACTCATTACGTACAATTATCCCTTGCATGGTGCAGTCAAGTGCAGTGAGGTTAGTAACAGGCTAGATCCTGAGCATCCCGGGGGACAGCGCCTACACAAACCCAAGAGTGTTATAATATCAAATGTAGATGAGAGTTATGTGATGTAAATAAGTAGAAAAAAGGACAGGTTGTAATGGAATTCAGTCTGAATTGAGATAGAATGGTGGGAATAAATTACTTTAAGTTATCTAGGAGTAGACATGTCAGCTAATGAAACAATGAATAAGATCTAGGAACTAAATCTTAAGAGTAACTGAACGAAAGAAAATAACATGTGGATTGAGAAATGCATGGAGAGAGAGAATGTGTCAAAAGAGGCAAAGAATGTGATGTTTTGAGGAATAATTGAATAAAAAATATTGAGGGAGTAAGAAACTTTGTTATTAGATATGAGAGGAAGGAGTACATTGAAAGCAAAGAAAACAATGAAAAGGATGTGCCTGAAAGCAATAACGTGAAAATATGGAGAGAAGGGAAAATTAAATATCAGTAGCAAGAGTTCATAATCCAAAGATGGAAGGTAGAAAGAAGGGAAGTAGAAGAGATGGAAGGATGAGGAGAGGGAGGCACCAGTTGTGTGCAAGATGGGTATCCAGAAGGAAGCAGTGAGCATAAATGACCAGAATTTATAGCACTGATTAGTTTGAGGGATAAAGAATGAAGCCAAGTTAAACGAAGCAATAGGGATAAATCATATGGATATCTTGGGGCCTTACTGTGTAGGAGAAACATCATAGCAGAGCACATATATTTTAACAGACAAAAACTGAATGAAGTCTGTTTATGCTTAAAATTCCAACCTTCCAGCAACATATTCAGAAAATGAATGCAAGAGTAACAGATGTGCACAGACACTAAATGTAAAGTAAAAGTGATAAACCTCACCCATCCCATTTAACTAATAAGAGAATAAGGCTAAAAGAGAGACATAGAAATGGGTCAACAGACAGACAAAGGCAGCTACAAAGATAGACTGCTTTAAGCTTCTTACCAACCTGATTAGGCAGATCTCCTGGGTTTTCTCCAGGTAAAACACGAGATGTATAAGCAGAGTTAACACTAATAGAGTAAAGGAGAAGCTCTGCCACATGATGCGGTAGTGATTCATATTTTGGAGTCGTCTTGTGGTCTTCACTGCATATGTACGACTGAACAACAGTCATCCGGTTGGTTGTAAGGGTACCAGTCTTGTCTGAACAAATAGCTGTAGCGTTACCCATGGTCTCGCAGGCATCTAGATGGCGCACCAAGTTGTTGTCTTTCATCATTTTCTAAGGGAAATTATATCAATGATCAAAAACATAATCTAACAAAAATAATTCAACAGAGAATACTCTCATGGATAAAAATGCTAGTCTGTTTAAGGCTAATAAACTAAATTTAAAACTTAAGCAAACAAAGATGACAATGATGCTTTTGTGGGTGGCAACACCTCTTAATTTTCTCTGAAAATAAGCAAATTAATTATATGACACCCAATTTTCACTGTAGATTTTGTGGAATTAATTACAAGACTGATTACTAAATTACAGCCTAAAATCATGTTTATTAAATCTGCAATAACATAGTCTGATATCATTTGCAGTTGATACCTACTCTATGGTTATTAATTACAAAATGAAGAAATTATGAACAAGACCTAAGACCAACAATGATCAGTCATTTATTGCAGGCAGAACTAAGGTTGGAAGGAAAAAATATTCTAGATTAATTTACTGGCATAAAAAGCATACTAAAATTCTGTGTCACAGGTAACTGAGATATCCTTAGTAATACAAAAACAGGTGGAAAAAATACAGATGAATAGTGAGGATGAATTTCCTCATACAGTACAGTACAGTACAGTACAGTACAGTACAGTACAGTACAGTACAGTATGGTACGGTACAGTACAGTACATACTGTATATGACACTCATTTGTGAGCTTTCAAGCAAAACAAAGGTTGATTTCTGTAACCCTTACCTTTACAATTGACCATATTTATGCCTGGAGGTACTTGGGATTTCAGGGAATACAGTGTTAAGGGTAACTTTGGTGTAAGCATCTGAGTATTGTGATATATAGGCATAAAATGTTGACTAATGTCCTCCCAAGAGGCCAGGTCAGCCCCTCCTGCACCCACACCTGGGTCGGATGCATTTACACAAGTTTTGAAGATAGAGAGGTGAAATTTATTAGGGAGGTGCAGGTGGTCTAGGCATGGACATGCACTATCTCCTGTTCCTCGAGAAGGGGTGGGTTGGCCCTGAAGGGGTCATTGTTTTGTTTTTTGTTTTTTTACGGGGATTAGCCCACCCAGGCACAGGTCACTGACCCACATCGGGGCCTGGGGGGCAAAAATTTAATAATAATAATAATAATAATAATAATAATAATAATAATAATAATAATAATAATAATAATAATAATAATAATAATAATAATAATAATAATAATAACAATAATAATAATAATAATAATAATAATAATAATAATAATAATAATAACTCTGTAATAATAATAATAAAAATAAAGAACCATAAAGAAATACAAAAATTAAAAAAAGATCAAAAGTGAGAAACAATATACGTATGTATATTGAGTTGTGTTGTCAATAGTACGATAAGCAATTTTTGTGATGCCATATGGCAGCAAGGTCTACCATTAGACAACACATTATGCTTCCAATATCTTCCCAGGCAGTAATACCTCCCTGTTTGGTAGCTGCCTACTACACCCACATGCAAGTTGGATACATTTCCACAGTTTTGAAGACAGAGTTAAATTTGGAAAGAAGGTGCAAAAGGCCTAGGACCTAGGGGATGGTCATTCACTTTCTCTTACCCCTCCAGCTGGCTGAAGCCGGGTAACTTAACTAGTGCACAATAAAGGTGTATAAGTTTTAAAAGAAAGTGTGGAATTTGGAACTGAATAAAAGCATGGATGAGAGGATATTGCGAGCAACATATGAGAGAACCCGAGTGTAGTATCAGCTCACAGACGGCGGTGTTCACGCCATGTAAGCAAAGAAGTGGGAATTTAATATGATGAAATAATTCATCAATGATTGAGTGTGAGGCCTTTTTTCATCGAGATCATATCTCCAATTATAGAATGGGAGTAAATGTATTACTAGGGTAATGTATTCATTGAAGATGTTGGCTTAGCATTTGGTACTGTTCACCTTGTTTTAAATCTCATTCGGTGTCTCATAAGTAAAGGTATAAAATTATTACTATATTGCACCGATTTATTACACTTATGCTTATTATTGGCTTATAATTATTATGTAAACCAAAAATTTTCATTATAAATATGTTTTAGGGCATTTTTAAGACATTTTTGGGAAGCACTGTTTTGTCGGAATAGGTATCATAATTTGGGGAAGCAATGTTTTGTAGGAATAAGTATCTTAATTTTATACAGATTTTCAAGAATGGGAACCTTTTGTAAAGAAGGGAATGCCTGTACAGTATACAGTGCTGTGGTAAACTGTTCTGGTGATGCAGTTACAAGTAATGTTGTAGTTTAAAAGATGAAAAAATCAGTTAACCTCCTAATCAACTAAAAATTTTTACAAACTACTAACTGATACAACACAATTGGATTATTGATGAAAATGTTACCACCAGAAACTTGACTCACCTTCACAGAATATGCTAGTGATAGTGTGACAGCAAGTGGCAAACCTTCTGGCACTGCTACCACCAACACAGTAACACCAATGATGAAGAACTTGACAAAATGGTTAGCATAAAATGGAGACCAGGGTTTGCCTTCCACAACAAAAGTTTGTACGCAGAAACGGACAATCAGAATCACAACTGTTAGCACAGCAATGAATGAGCCTGAAATTAAAAGGATAATTTAATACCTTATTACTTAAGATAAGTATTTACAATTTTAATTCACATTCTTCCTGGCTTGAAAAAACTATAGGTCTATAATTTGTAAATTTACACATCAACTATCTGAAACCAACACACAAAAATGCATTTAGAAATCACAATTGCTTTGACATAATAAATAATGTTACAATAACAATTGCAAAATTGTGGATCAGTAACCAATTAACAAATATGGAAAAAAACAGAGTACAGGATATATATATATATATATATATATATATATATATATATATATATATATATATATATATATATATATATATATATATATATATATATATATATATATATATATATATATATATATATATATATATACACACACACACACACACACACAGTATTACCCCGCTTTACGTGGTTTCACTTTGCGCGATTTCTCATATACGCGGTGCCTCGCCAGAACCGAACTTTCACTTTCCGCGGTTCATCTACACATATACGCTGAAGTATAATTTTTTTTTTAGTTAGCTCATAAAATTCATACACATTACCCGGCCAGAATATAATTTACATTGCTGGAATTCTTACAATTTGATGATCATTTTGAATATAAACATCATAGATTTTGCATTAGACATACAAATTTTAGATATAATGTTTACTCTGAGTAAATATGTTATCTTTGTGCAAAATATATGACATTTATATTCAAAATATTCCTGGTCTTACAAGGAATCCAGCAATGTCAATTATATTATCCTAACTTTAGTCTGATTTATTATTTATTACTAAAAAGGTAAACAGTCTGGTATTCCCACACATTCATCTGGTAGGGAGGGAGGGACAGGCGACTGACCACCTGGCACGGGTGAAGAATATTTTTTTTTTTTTTTATTAACTGAAGATATTTGTTTTAGCTCATAAAATTCATACAAATTACCCGGCCAGAATATAATTTACATTGCTGGAATTCTTACAATTTGATGATCATTTTGAATATAAACATCATAGATTTTGCATTAGACATACAAATTTTAGATATGTTTACTCTGAGTAAATATGTTATTTTTTGTGCAAAATATATGACATTTATATTCAAAATATTCCTGGTCTTACAAGGAATCCAGCAATGTCAATTATATTATCCTAAGTTTAGTTTGAGGTATTATTTATTACTATACCTGGTTTTCCCCAAAAAATTTCTCAGAGAGGGAAGAGCCAGCGAGTGTAGTGTGAGAAGAGGGGGAGGGAGTTGAGTCCATTATTTGAATGGACATTAACTTGGCGACTGTATTTCTCTATTTCTCTTAAGTATTAATTGTGTGCATGCACCATCATAAAATTAAGATATTATTTTTACAAGAACATAGGTATTGTGCTGGAAAAAGTGGAGTTTGGGGGTCAGCTGGTCTCTATTTCATTTAATCCCATGAGTTATGTTATTCACTTTATGCGTTTCTCACGTTCCGCGTACCCTGTGGGTTACATTAACCGCGTAAAGTGAGGGTTGACTGTATTTCATAAAAAAAAATCCCAGACTGTGAAAATTTATATGGACTAAAAATACTGAACTTTTTCCTACCGGTATACAGTATACTGAACAAATTTCGGAATTGGACGATTTTTGGGGATTTGTTTTATACCGAGAACCTCCCTATACCGAACTAGCTGCTCACCAATTATTTTAGTATAGAGAGATAATACTGTAGTCAGGTATCCCTCGATATACAAAAGTGTTAGGTTCCAAAAAAGCCATTCATTAAATGAATTTTAACATCTTGAATAATAGAAAAAATGAGAAAATGTTGTTCAGTTCCCCAATGACAAAAATACCCCAATATCATACCCCCAAAAACACAAAATTGGTTCACAAACAACAAAAAACCTACCTGACTAATGATAAATAATACACAACTACTGTAATGTATTACCTTACACATTAAAAACATTAATAAAATACTATCTAGATGAAAATGTGCAGCCAAAACTATTAAGGAAAAGCCAAATCAAAGTTTAACACAGTAGCTTGCAGTGCCATTTGCATAAACTCTGGCTGCTCCATGCCTCTACTATTTTTTTGCACATTATGTAAGTAGGATTGTGTGTGCATAAAACTTAGTACAAAAAAGTGAAGTAAGTTAAGTTTATCTATCCAAAACTAGGAGTTGAAAACTAACCATAACTCCCTCCCAGTTCATTCTGCTAACTCTCGCTGGTGCATGAAATTTTTTTTATTCCCTAAGTTTTTAACCTAATGATATTTTTTTTCTGTGCATTCTGTTTGTAGGAATGTTTGTGTGGATGTAACAATGAAATAAGTATAATGAATGTTACGTTTATATTCCTGAAATTACGAGTTGAAAAATAACCATAACATACTCTTACCTTAGCCTAGTAAGGAGAGCACTAGGGGGATGTGACTGCCCCAGCTGACTCCCAAGGGCATATAATTTTAATTTTTGCTGGGACACAAATTCGTATAAGCTGGGAATGCTTTTGTAATACGAAAAAGAGGCGGTAATTTAGGAAATTTTTATAAGTGAATTTTCATATCTCGAACCTTCATATATCGAGGGATACCTGTACTACAATTTTGGGGGCTAAAGATACATCACCAGTTTTACCATAATAAGTTATCTAGGAGTGGGGATGAAATGTTCAAGACAACAGAATGAAATCTTGTTCCCAATGATGGGTGCAGTATACTGCTGATAAGTAATACTGAGCTGTATGAAGCAACAGGGGTAAACCAAATGGATGTATAAGGGCTGTAGAACATACCTGTTAAAAAAATTAAATATAAATGATAGTGATTAATGGCAGCATCTCTGTTGCCCTTGATTCCAGCTACCATGCATTAAAAAGAAAGTTTTGCAAAAAGTAACAAAATCATAATCTACCAAATTTAGGTAGTTAAAGGAGAAAAAAACATATTTAATACAAATATGAATAATAATAGATAATAAAATTACCAGCATAGCCAATTTGAATTGCCAGCTTGGTTAGCTTAGCTTGTAGCACAGATTTTTCTTGACCCCCTCCCCCTGTTGGTCTTGACACTTCCTCTTCATCCTCATCTTTTGAATGTTTGTTATTTCTTACATCACCATCTGCATTTGCGGAGTTGGCTGTTACATGGTGTGAATTACCCGTCACAGCAGCAGCCTCACCATCCCCTTGCTTGTCTGTAAAATACAACAGTAGTTAGACACTGCACTTGAAATCCAACTAATATAATCAGAGCATTCCCAAGCGAAGCAATAATGACAATTAATGGAAACTGTTGAAAGAAAATATTAAAAACCATTAAAATGTAGATAATTTCTTTAAAAATTTAATGACCATGCATTAATTTCATCTAAAGAAACCTTTGAACTCGAATTCTAGAAATGCACAAAAACCAATATATATAATTGGCTTTTGCTTAATCTTTATAAAAACATTAGGCATTTGAAGTTTGCCAAAACAATGACCTGTATACTCTCTAAGCACAGTTACAACTCAGCAAAGCCATTTGACATAAAGAACATCAGACGACCAGCAGAATCTACCACAACAACAATTCGGCAAACATTTAAAGACATTACAAAGAGCAAGGCCAGAAAATGAAAAATTACCTAAGGTAATTTAAATTTAACATTGTAAAAATAGAAGACATTGATATTCAAATATTAACATCAAACACAGAAAACAGTCAATTGTATGGATGGGACACGATAAAAGTGGATGAAAGTAAATGACAAAACATATCCTGAAAAGAAAATACAGGTAGCAGGAGGATGTGAAATACTAAAGCCAGTAGAGCCATACTAGGATTGGCGACAATCAACTCTTCGCCCGAGTCGCCCTTCTTCTTTTTTTTCCGCTCCTTTTTGGCCTCTGTTTTTTTGGGCACAAGCGGTGATTGATGATGATGATGGATTCGGAAGGCAACAACGGTAGTGGTTGGTTGGTTGGTCAGGGGTTACATGCAAAAAAAGATGTCAAAAATAATAAAATCATTAGTCCTAGAGAGGATATACAAATCAAATCCATAAGCTTTAAGTGGCAGAGGTAAGAAAAGTATTTAAATTATTTAGAAACCTGTTTAGAGTACTACTTGTGAACAGGCTAAACCACAACTGTGAGTTTGCAAGGGTCAAAACTTCATAACAGGAGGTTAAAACACAAATACTTGTATATCAGTAAATCTCACACTATAAAAATCCTTAAAAATAATTTTAAAAATATTTAGAATATGCTCAACATTGCTATTCTGTGATTGACAGAAATTTTATCACTGAGAGTGAATGGTTATATAAAAGTACTGAAGTATTAAAACAAAAACCTCCTGATATGATCATATGAGCTACTGAAACTATTCTGTCTTAAAGATGTACAGCTCTCAGTCTGGCTCTTGAAAATAATATGAAGCTTCCTTCGATCACTACAGCTGCAATCAAGCCTGACTACAATTGTGGAAGAAAATCCTTTCTCAATGAACCATGTACTATACAAAGTCCAGTAATATTATCTAGTGCAGTAGCTAGTACAAACTGAACAGTGTCAAGTACTTTGTTAATTTCAAACAAAGGTGGAATAATATCAATTCAAGATGACTATAACTAACTACAGTTTATAAATCATAATTACTAATTTTTCACAAATAAATGTTGCCATCCCTAAGCTAATACTCTAATACGATACTCTACAGTTTTTTTGCACTTAATTATGAAAATCTATTAACTGGCTTTACTAACATGCCTAATCTATATCATTCGCTTTAAAAAAAATAATAAACAAATAACCTTGGCTATAAATTTGTCAAGTGCAACATGCATACTTATGCCATAGGGTGGGTTTTAGAAAATGGTCAGGTGGGTGCCTAATTCCATGATGGGAAGAGAAACGTCTATATATAAAGATTATTAATATCAACACCAATAATAATTTGCATACAATGGCTAGGTTGTGAAGAAGTCTGAGAAGGCTTCTGAGCTTCACTGAAGTATTCCTTAACTATTAACATGCAGGTGAAGAAAGCAAATACTATTTTTATAAATTGATGAATGTTCAATTTCATGATATTTCCATCCAATGAAGCTCAGTTGAATAACCTAAACAACTACAGTCCTAGACATTACTGGGCACAGAAAAAATATTTGTTAAAAGAAACTTCAAACAAGAGGAAGATAATAACTAAAAAAACATTACCTTTCTTTCTCTTCTTTGCTTCCTCTTGTTCTTCATCAGCTGCTGCTCCAAGCAGTGTGAAGATGATGCCTGCTTGGGAATTGACACCTACAGCAGTGACCAGCATCCTCCCACTGCCCTCCATCACATGTGTCCCTGTTACAATGAAATAACTTAGAAGTAATAAAAATGCATAAGTTATCTACATCTGATTTTTTCTAATTACCCTAATGATCCTACTAATTCATTTGTCCTTTACACATGTCTATAACATCACTGCAAAACAACCTTTATGTTATTAAACAGCATATCTCCTCAGACTATCATCCCTCCTATATCAGGCTTGTTATATGAGAGTAACAAGCATCAACTTTCTCAATCTACAGAGCCTATCTGACATACCAATTTATTGAAAACAAGTAAATGCATCCATATAAAAGTGTGATCAAATATAATCAAGTTACTTTCGAGTAATATATGATCAGCAATAACTCTTATCATTGTTATCACTAAATTAATACAGATAATCACTAAAATTATCATAGGGTTGACCTTAAGCATTAAAAACTAACAAAAATAATTCATTTGATATCATTAACGTGAAATTCTAGGGATGGCTGTCTGTCACTATGGTGACTTGCTCAGAACATTAGCAGTTTAATTTCAAAGGTTAAATAAAGTACTGAAGGTGGCACTCATCACCTTCAAAATGATCACTCACATTTTAAGTGAAGGCTTTCTTTTTATTTAACACCTTCTGGTGATGCACGCTGAGCATGCACAATCCAGACAAGCATTCAGTTGACAATGTTGATCAAAGCCAAGTCTTGACACATTTCAGCATGCTAAATCACTGCTCTACTTCACAAGTGGAGGCTGGAAGTGCCAAGGAGATCAGTAGGGCTTCTCGAATACCAGCAAACAAATAAGAGTGCTTCAAAAGATCCATCAAGGAAAAGGTTGCACTGGAATCAGATGCAGTTTTCTTCTGGGAATGTTGATGCTGTATCCACATATCAAACCAGAACTGCGACTCCTCAGCAAAATTATCATTTAACTGTCATTTTTTCCTACATTCAGCAACCACTGGATCTTTTCTCACATTTCCATCACAACTTGGTTTTGCAAGTGACATGCTTTGTTACATGAGCTAATAGTAGTAGATTTTTTCAACACGCTTAAAACAATCAATAATTTCCATGCATAAAATATCATCCCAACGGTACCGAGGTCAGAGTTTTCCACTATAAAAGGTATTTGCTTTGCTCTTATTTTCATTTATGAATACAGCATGTCCTTAAAATTTGTGGGTCTTTAATTCACAACCTCTGATTATTTGTGTATGACACCCTGGATGAACCCAAGAATGATTGCGTGTACTTTTAAAGTTGGCGGCATGTTCGTGGCTGGGATGGGGAGCGTGCAAGATTTGTGGCGTCCCACTTGCACACTCCTCCCCAGTCCATGCTAAACACTTGTCCGTCCCGTGTGTGTGCTACTCTGCTCTCTTAACATCTGTGCCCCTCGTGCTTGTGATGGCTCCCAAACACCCTCAACCATCTTCATTAAGCCACGGAAAGGCGTCCAAATAAGCAAAGAGAGAAAAGAAGGCCATGACCCTTGTGGAGAAGATACAACTGCTGCACAAACTTAGGAGAGGCCAAAGCTTTGCCGTGTGTGGCCAGGAGTGTGGCATCAATGAGTCAATTGTCCGCTACATCAAGAAGAAAGAGAAGGTTATTCGTAATGCCGTAACATCTGGATAGAACTTTAACTGCTGCCACATCTCTCTCAGCAAGAAATTTATCCATGACAAAGCCAAGTTCCTGTATGACTGATTCCATGCTGAGGAAGGTGATGAAGGGGAAGTGAGTGGTGAAGGTGGTGCTAGTGTTGGTGGTTCTGGTGATACCACAAAGAAATGTTTTAATGCCTGTATGGGGTGGTTTGAGAACTTTAAGAAGCACTACAACCTGCACAACTTGAGGACCACTGGTAAATCAGCCTCGGCAGACGATGTAGCAGCAAAAGAATATTCTGCGATCTTTGCTGAGATTATCCAGGAGAAGGGTTACAAGCCGGAGCAGGTTTTCAGCGCTGATGAGACTGGCTTGTGGTGGAAGAAGATGCCACCCAGGAGGAAAGGAGTGCACTGGGCTTCAAGGTGGCCAAAAATCGTGTGTTTCTCCTGCTATGTGGCAACGCTACAGGTCATATGATTAAGCCCATGCTGCTGTACCTTGCCAGGCGTCCACGTGCACTCAATAACAAAGACATGCACCTCCTCTCAGTCTTCTACTGCCACAACAAGAAAGCCTGGATGGTGGCAGAGTTGTTCACTGACTGGTTTCACAATTGTTTTGTGAGGGAGGTCAAGGATTACTTGCAGGAGAAAGGCCTGGAGTTTAAGGTCCTCCTCGTGATCGAAAATTGCCCAGGCCACCCTGAGGCCCTCAAGGTTGCCAACAAAAACATCGGGTAATCTTTCTGCTCAAGAATGCAACATCATTGCTCCAACCACTCGACCAGGGCGTCATGGCTGTCTTCAAGGCAAAGTACATGAGCCACACCTTCAGCAGGATATGGCAGGACTTGGACGATGACACACGGGATTGTGTTGAGTCAGTGTAGGAAATGTGGAAGAAGTTCTCCATCACAACCAGCATCTCCTTCATCAAACAGTGCCACGATGACCTGATAGCCCTCTGTATTAACTCCTGTTGGAGGCCCTTGTGGCCAGAGGTGGTGAACGACTTCACCGACTTACCCACGGTTGACCAGGATGTGCAGCACATTGTCTAGCTTGCCCGTATTGTATGAGACAAATTGTGCAGTTCACCAAATATTAAACTAGTAATCAAAAATTTAAAAAGTTTAATAAAAATACATTATACAGTGAGTTCTGCTATAACGCGTGTTTTGATAACGCGAATTTGCTCTAACACGATTTATGAATTAGGAACGATATTTGTATAACACGAACGCTTGTTTGCTATAACGCGATTTTTGCTTACTATTTCTCCAATTTTGTGGTATTAACTGTGAATATAGTAAAGAATATCAACGAGAAGCGTTCTGGTGATAGAATTCCCGGTGATGATCGTAAAAGAAAGGATATAACACTTGAAGAGAAGCTCGATTTTATCAACCTCAAAATCACCCTTCTCCCCCATCAACTAAAGTGTTACATTTACTGTATGATTTCATTATTAGATATGAATGTAACATTTATTTAGACTGTGCTATCCTTTGTATTAGGCTAACTACTAAATTTTTTCGATTTCGAGTAATCTGCACCTAACCCTATTTTCTCCATAAGCCCTGTTATTTCTATTACGCGATTTTCTATAACACGATATTTTACATGAACACAATTATCGCGTTATAGGAGAACTACCTGTACAAAGCATTTTTGAAAATTGCTATTTAACTAACTATAAAATAATGCATAGTCAGTTTTAATAACAAATGGTCACAGCTTCATCATGACCTAGCAACAGGTAAGTACGGTTCCTCTATAAACTCAACATCATGACAGTTTTACCCAAGTCAGCCAGCCAGGTTCAGCCGCCGGAGGAATTGTCATAAGTACCAGCTTACTGCAAGTGTCCATTGTGGGAACGTTAATGAACAAACAGTTCACCTCAAAACTTGTAATATCAAATACATATTGTGAACAAGGATTGTGGAAAAAAGAACATTTCTCACTTTCTAGGGGGGTGCAAGTTCACCCCCTGCCCATGGACCAAGATAAAGACATAAATGTGTAAGACAAACTGAAAAAAACAAAAAATTAATTAATTTAAGTACTTTTCAATCCTATATATTCTTGAAACCTACAATAAGATTATTATATTGTGAAACTATACCTGAGAGCACCATAGGATCAGAGTCAGCCCCTTTCCTGACATGGTCTGACTCTCCTGTTAGAGATGACTCATCGATCTTCAAGTCATTACTCTGTATCAAAATGCCATCAGTTGGTAACAAATCCCCATACTTGATCTGAAAGAATCAAAACATCCAATTAATTTCATGTCACACTACAAATTTTGTAGCATTTACACATGCAGAATGAAAAAAAAATAATACAACGGTGACAGGCAGGCAAGTTTAACTATAGCTATAATCAAGAACATCAAAGTACAAAGGCTTCAAACTAAACTTTTACTGTTAATTTAGTAAAGGTCCAATGTCAGTTTTACAATTCTACATGTGATATTGATAAAGCTGGCTATCTGTTGTCTTACTAAAGCCAAAGAAACATTAAATCCTTGTCTTATAGGCCAGAGAATCTCAATCCACAAAAGCATAAGGTAGTTAATATGAATCAATGTAAAATACTACAGATGCACCATACATTTTTTCTACTGTTTATCATCTTCACAATAATGGAAAACAAGGAAAGTTTCTGTAAAATATTAAATAAGAAATACAACCTATGTATGCACAGGTATAACAAATCTAAATTTATGCATAAAAAAAGACAATTTGCATTTGCTTGACACACCCTTCTTCTCCGATGACACCAGAGGTAGCAAATTTCCGAAGTGATCCAAACTAGCAGGCAGATTTCTTCACAAATATTTTCAACAGTACCTGCTGGGTTCTTAACTCATGTACAATAAAAATATAACTTTATACAAAAGTTGTTTTGAAATTTTTGATCAAGAAAATTCATGACAATTCTACACGCCTATGAACAGTCTAACAATGATCAGGTTTCATGAAGAACAAAACAATGGCAATTTAATTTTTCAATGACAAAGAATACATTTCATGAATATTCCTCAATCTAAATTTATAGAGTATAAATGATAAAGTTGATAATGATTGTACTATTTTTGTACTTTATTCCAATGGCTGAGTAAGAAAAAATTAAGGATTTACACCAAACACAAATCAGATTTTATTTTTATCTTCCTCCATTAAATCAATGTTAATTTAAATAATTTGTCCTCACAATCACATTGTCAAAGGAATAGCATCTCAACTAAGCATACTTTCAGAGCAAAGCAACCATTCCGTATGAAAATATTATTTAAAATATTCAAAGGCTTGTATTCCTTTTCCACCATCCTTATATACCTAGATGAATGATTATGCTACAACTTAGAGATACTGTTGAAACACTACAACAATGGAAACAAAATCAAGGAAAATTTCAATAAAATGTTTCTACTGAACGTACTTCTTTTTCATATTCAAACTTAATCATTCTGAATTAATACAGTGAAGCAAGCTTCAAAAGAAACACATATAATATCCACATACTGTTTCTTTGACTAACGCTGAGTGAGACAAAGTACATAAAACCCCTCCCCATCACCTGAATGGAACTGTTCATATCCACTGACTTTCTTAACCAAGCTGCTTCATGAGTGACATTTATTTCCATTCTCTCTTCCACTTTCATAAGAATCTATTTTCCACTATCTGTGGCCCTCTTGCATTCATTGGGTACCCTTTAATGACAGATTTTCATACCTGTGTTCTCTGCCATTTATCTGGTATCCTCCACTGACATACTCCCATACCTTGGCAGATGGACAAAGTTTATTTATTTTTTTAATTATCTCTCTCCTCCAACATCAAGCTGCATCATCATAAATCTCCTTCACCACATCACCAATCCTCCACATGTCCATACTAGCTCAAATTACAGTATTACCCAGCTTTACGCGGTTTCACTTTCCGCGATTTCTCATTTACGCGGTGCCTCGCCAGAACCGAACTTTCACTTTCCGCGATTTCTCATTTACGCGGTGCCTCGCCAGAACCGAACTTTCACTTTCCGCGGTGCATCTACTCATATACGCGGGAAGCGGCGCGGGCAGGATGCGCACAAGGTCGCCCAGTCATCAAAACATTACTGAGTTCTTCACCCGCCACCCACCACAGCCGGCCTAAGTCAGTGATAGTGAGGATATGGACTTATATGGACTTTGAGGGGTTTGACAAAGAGGCCCTGCAAGCCTATGTGGTGGATAGTGATACAATTGATACAAGTGATACAGGTGAGGGCCAATAATCTGCCCTCTGCCTCGGAACCAACCCCCCCATCCCTGTGTGCCCAGCCATCTTTTCTACTCATGTAAGTGTTAAAAAAACTAATATTATTGATATTTCTCTTAATTATTAATTGTGAGTGCATACCATCATAAAATTAAGATGTAATTTTTACTACAACATAGGTATTGTGTCTGAAAAAGTGGAGTTTAGGGTCGGGCCAGTCTCTATTGGAATTAATCCCATATGTTCTGTTGTTCACTTTCCGCGGTACCCTGTGGGTTCAATTGACCGCGTAAATCGGGGTACTACTGTACATTTACTATTACCTTTATGTACTTCTTATCAAAGAAAATTTTAAATTCTATTAAACAGGTTAAATAGGCAGCAGCATACAATGCTGAGGACACCATACCCATGAAATGGAATGAAGTGCAGAAGGAAAGATACCTGGTATGTACTACAACTAAAGACATATAAACTGGTTCATTCTTACAAAAGTAAACCTTTCAAAATTACTGCACTGTACTGACCAATATCTAAAATAATTAACACGACCTCATAATCACTGAATGTGATGATAAGTCTGTCATATTATGGAATAAATTATTTTTGTGTTTACCTTTACTCTAAATATTCTCTTGTTCTAATTGGGTTTTGTTTTGTTCTGTTGCAGATATATTGGATTTATGAGTTGAATAAAGCCTTGATTACTGAAGGTATTTGATCTCATACAACAATTTATTCAACTCATATTCTACTAGCAACATGGAACGCATACTCTGCCCCGACAAGCTTGGTGTTGATCCAAATTCCCCAGCTGCTGAGAAGGAATACAAGCATTGGCATAAAACCTCTGAAAACTTTATTGATGAGTGTGGAGACAGATCACCTGACAAACTACGATGTTTGACAAAATATGTGTCTGCTACTGTGTATGAATACTTTGCTGATGCTACGGAGTTTGAAACAGCTATACAAATGTTGGAAAAGGTGTATGTGATAAAGAAAAATGAGATATTCACCAGACACCAGCTCGCCACAAGACGTCAGCATTCTTCCGAAACACTGGATGAATTTCTTCGCGACTTGCACAGACTCAGCAAAGATTGTACTCTAAAAGCTGTCACAGCCGAAGAATATCGTGAAGAGTTAGTACGGGATGCCTTCATCGACGGAATGTCTTCTGCAAATATAAGTCAACGACTATTGGAAAATCAGGCTCTCACACTCTCTCAAGCCTTTGATCAAGTTAGAGCCTTGGACCTTGCACAGTGTACTTTGGAAGCCTTCCAGCCACTAGGCCCTGTCATTGCAGCAGCTTCAGGATGTGTGGAGGAAACTGTTACGTCACCGTACACTAATCAACAAGATATATGTCCAGTTGAGGACTCAACACTTGCTAGTATGACCACTAAGAAACGATATTGGTTTTGTGGTGGCAGTCTTCATTTACAGGCGAGATGTCCAGCTAAAGATAGTGATTGCTCTTCATGTGGAAAAAGAAGGCACTGGGCAAAAGTCTGTCAAACTAAGGGTAAGAAACATGTCACAGCATCAATTTCATCTCCTACTCTTTGTGCCATCTCAGCTGCTGTTCCCCATTGCTTGAATCGCTCTGCTAGAAACTTAAAGGTAAATGGAAGACGAATCTCCGGCCTTATTGACTTGGCAAGTTCTGAAAGTTTCATTGACAAGAGAGTGGCCCATCGGCTTAAGCTTCACATCAAACCCGTTTCCCAAAGTATAACCCTGGCAATGTCTTCCTCAACGACTTCTGTGATAGGTGAATGTACGGTGGATCTCTATAAGAATGACAGTCATTATCCAAACACACATCTGGCGCCATTGAGAATCTTTGTGGTGATGTTATTCTCGGAACAGATTTCCCAAAACAACACTCCTCAGTTACCATAGAGTATGGAGGACCCAGACCTGAGCTCAAGATTTCCAACATTGGTAACAAGCCTGTATGTAGCCTGGCATCAGCAGGTATGTCAGAACCACTGTTATTTGCAAACATGCGAGGAGATGCAAAACCGATAGCCACCAAATCTAGGAAGTTTAGCCATGATGACCAAAAGTTCATTACCAAAGAAATACAACGCTTACTGTCCAAAGGCATCACAGAGTCAAGCACATCACCTTGGCGTGCACAGGTGATGATTGCAAGAGATGATTCAGGCTGTCACAGAAAATGAATGTGCATCAATTACTCTTCTACGGTGAACATTTACACCAATCTCGACGCATATCCATTGCCAAACATTGAAAACATGGTCAACACTCTTGCGAAGTACCACGTGTTCTCAACATTTGATCTAAAGAGCGCATACCATCAACCACGCATAAGCGAGTCTGATAAACCCTTTACAGCATTTGAAGCAAATGGCAGACTGTATCAATTCACACGTGAACCATTTGGTGGCACTAATGGTGTTGCCGTTTTTCAAAGAGTCATAGACAAGTTCGTGGAGAAGGAGAATCTATGTGACACATTTCCCTACCTTGACAATATTACCATAGGTGGTCGGGATCAGAAAAAACATGATGCAAATCTTGAGAAATTTCTTGCTGCTGCTGAGGAAAGGAAGCTGACATTCAATACATCCAAATCTACAATATCAGCAACATCGATCAATCTTATGGGTTATCAACTTGGAAATGGTCAAATCAAACCAGATCCTGAAAGGCTAAAAACCACTGCAAGAACTTCCACCATCTACAAACCGATCGGCTCTTCAACGTGTACTTGGTATGTTTGCTTTTTACGCTAAGTGGATCCCGGAGTTTTCAGACAAATGCACGGCCTCTCTACAAGGCTAAATCTTTTCCTCTGGACCCTGAAGCGCTCACAGCATTTGATGACTTGAAGAAACTGCTTGGGGAAGCTGCCCTAAATAGCATTGACCATGCCATCCCATTTGTTGTGGAGTGTGATGCATTAGATGTGGCCGTGTCTGCTACTTTGAATCAAGCTGGTCGGCCACTAGCCT